ATATATATAAATATAAATATATATATATAAATATAAATATATATATAAATATAAATATAAATATATATATATATATATAGTCAATAAAGACAGAAATATTTATATATATATAAACACACTTTTTTTTCCTTTTAATAACATATTTTACATCGTCAGTGAATGTTTTAGTAGCTGAACTTAACATACGAGCGTCATAGTTTTGCCCTTAAAAGCTGTATTTGAAGAAAAATACTTGTTAATGTTGCAAACGGCATCCCACCTTCTCTAACAAATGAGCGATACCGACAGCTTCAGTGGAATATCACACCAATTGAAAAGCTGTACTGAAGGTTCACTCCAAACGGCACAGTTGATAAATACCAACAGCTGTGTCATTAGAGAAGGAAGCAGGGGAGATAGAAACCAACAGAGAAAGAGAAAGAGTGAGAGGCCATCGGGGAAATAAGTCCAGTCATTTCCATGCGTGCATACAATACATTTTGTCAAGGATCACAAGCCCTGATCATTTCCTATCTAATGTGTGCACAGGAAATGGTTTCCTTCCCTTTGTTTCACAAGTTCACCGTTCAAAGATGCCTTTGATCTGCCAACTCCTCTCACACATCAGTTTATCTCAGCCGTGGGAGGATGTGTGAAGATTGTGTTAACTAGGTGACCGATCAGTCACAGTAGGAATCAGGAAAAGCACTGCTGATTTGTTTAAGTTTAACAAATACCTTCTTTGGTTATCTTAGCCTTTATTATAGCCGGTTCAATTTAATACATTTATGGACAGTAACGGATGATTTCACATTGTAAAATGAAACCCAGTGGTGGAAAGTAACTAATTACATTGACTCAAGTACTGTACTTCAGAACAATTTTGAGGTATTTGTAGTACATTTGGGAGGGAAATATTGTACATTTTACATCGACAGCTTACTACTTTTCAGATAATTTTCGTGAAAACACACAAAATGATCTTATAAAATACATTGCATCATTAAAAGGTTAAGCCAATTGTTTGTGAGCCCTTTACAAACAACACAGCGTCTAGTTTGGACCCCTTGTCATGTTCGTTTAGGTCTATGAGGTGTTAGCAGTTCAGTCTTTGAGTATTTCATTTAAATCTTTGAGGTTAAAATATCCAATATTTCACAAAAAGTTAAGATTAGAGAAAAGAAATCTCGATTTGTGTGTTAGACATCTTTTCTTCTTTTTTTAATACATCTCAGATATATCTTGTGACTGCTGAGCGGCCCGACTCCTAGATTCGGAACAACTGAACTAAACTACCTGACTGTGTAAAGCAGTAAGTACCACTTCACATTGATGTACCAGTATCAATCTATCAATCCATTTATAGAATAATATGCAAGTAGAGGGACATTTCTCTGCAGAACTACTTTGGATATTTTGCTGATGACATTTTTGCACTTTTACTTGGGTAGGATTTTAAATTGGGAACCTTTACTTGGAATGGTATGTCTACTATGTAAAGAAGCTGAATACTTCTTCAACCACTAGCAGCATCATTGGAGTAATATATAGATTAAAGGTCTCCCATCTGAGCAGGTTTCAACACATGCTTAGTTATCAGTTTGAATTGAAGAGAAAAAGTCTATTTTTCATATTTCTTTCACCTTTCCTAATGACAATATCTTCAATTCGGTCTCCGTATTTCAGACAGTTTGGTGGATTTCATGGCTCGGCTTTAACTCCTTCATTTCACAGACACAGTTTGTGCTGAATGAGGTCTAAACACACACAGCCACAGATTAAGAGGAACCTCAAGCCTCTAAAACAATGCTGGATGATGTATTTGTCACTCCATTTCTGATTGAGGATTCATTGGCTCAGAATATTTCAGCTTCTCATGTTATGCAGTTTGCAAAAGACAACAACCATGTAGATCAGTAACAGCAGGTACTCATTTAATCAACTTGATTTGATGTGGCAACAACCACGACGGGGCTGAAGGTCAAGCAGAGGGAAAACGTTTAAGGATATCAGCCCTCAGTGCAGAGACAATGTATTTCTTCCTTTAGGGGAGTCAAACAGAGAGTGAGTTCATAAATGAAACAAGCTAAAATACTGAACAGCTGTTTAGTTTCTCATTTTTTTTTTTTTTTTACTTTAGTTTGATCCAGAAAGTAAAAGAAAACATGAACGTTAATTAAGGGACCGAATACAGTACGGTAGAAATGATGTGCATTTATTTAATCTACAAATCTTTCCCTTTGTTGTCCTCGTGAATTAGTTTGAGCTAAAACGAAGAATCATACAACATGGGTGCAAAACAAAAGCCAGGAGCTACGAGTGGAAGCCGTTCATGTCGAGTCCTACTTGACGTTTTGTGGATCTGATACGAGAGCTGCATGAAAAAAAAGTCTGTGCTGGGGCAGCTGTCAAAGTCCATTTCACAGCTCAGCTTTCGTCGGCCTCCAGGTTAATGTTGTTACCGAACTTGGCATAGAGCTGGATCTTCAGATCACCCAATACTTGCAGTATCGCTGACACTCGTTCCTCAAGGCCTTTGACCTCCTGCTCCAGGGTTTCCTGATTACAGAACAGAAACTCCAATTACACGACAAACCGCTGCAACTTCCCCACACGAGGCGAGCAACAATGGACATTTCCATTAAAAATCGGTTTAAATAAATTATTAGACGACTCAATAAAAACACATTCTGAAGACAGGAGGAAACGTGATGGGGAAAGAAACAACGCAAAAATGATTATGTGCATAAATGTGAACTAAATCAGCTATTCTGTACCAGTGGGCAACATAAATAAACTGGAATCTACTCGTGGTGTTTCTGAGATATCACAAGAATGGACCGGGAGGACGCAGTGACCACCTGAAAACCTATTGCCTCTGGCCACGGTGGTCGTTAAATAAAACATCAAATTAAAACACCATCATGACATATCATCAGTTAATTTTAACTGTCACATAGCAAACGTTCCCTCAGATACAGTGGAGAAAAAAAATGAATTGTTTTCTGATGTTTGAGACGTTCCTGCGCCGGCAAAAGCTCCAACGCGTGTGGTGAGGAAATACGACCCTCATAACGGGTTGAAAAGTGAGCGGTTCTCAACACATTTGGCATCGAATGTGTGTAACGAAATGCTCAAAGTCGATGAATACAGGCCGGCACGGTCTGCTTTGGTCATGTGATGAAGCAGCAGCAAGATACAAGGACAGAACATGGAGATCCTGGACGTGACAGAGGGATGGACAAGGTCTAACGTAAAAGGTCAAGGCCTTCCCTTTGTACAGCTGGCTGTGATGAAGCCACGCTCTGCTCCCAAGGACAATATCAAACACTGCTTTGAACCGCTTCTCAAAAGTTATATTCCATGTTGGGAGATTGTGTCAAAGGTTTACACGCAACAAAATAGTAGCGTTGTTTCCTATGGGAGCGTATGACCAAACACCTGTTTTCACACTGCATCAGGGATAACACACTGTCACATTTAACAAGGTGCGACAGATTTACAGAGTGATCTTTGTGTATTTGTGATTCACAGCAACTCAACAGTAAGTAAGCAGAAATGAACAGGCATTGAACAGGTGTCTGACGAGGCACTAAAAGTTATCATGGGTAACACTTCAGCCACATTTGTCAAACCGCGTGCAGAGTGAGAGCTTAAATAGGTTTTGTGCGCACTGTAACTATTTTATTTCGGGCCATTGTGACAGCGCTCTACAACAGCAGAGGCAGGAAAGCACAACAAAAATAGATTGACTATTGTGCGTGAACGTGCGCATGTAGTATGTGAGAACTTTTATTTTCATCACATTTTTGTAACTGTGACTCATCTGAACAAACTCATTTTCTGGTTTCAGAAGTGTTAATTTTAGTGTTTATTATTCAATGTTTATTATTCAGTGTAAGTCAGTACAGGAGTACAGATTGTATATATTAGTTTAAATATAAGGCTGCTAGAATACTTGCCACAGAGCAATGCTTCATTGTCTTTCGATGGAATGGGTCATGATGTACATTTGCGTCAAAGCAATTACATAAAAAATGATCATGATGAAGGAATCATAAGTCATACATACACAACGTTCACTGGCCAGGATGGGACAGAAAACAGTTTGTGATCAGATATTTGCTTGTTTTAAGTAAGATGAAAGTTAACATGTTTAAAGAGAAATGTAAAAAATATATATGCGTTAACTAATTTTAGAGTTGTTGTAGTTACGGTCATACTAGAGGCAAATTACTCATCAAGTTACTTTTTATATCAATCCTCATTGTAAGAATTCTCCCGATAGTCCTTTAACTTGCTGACTTTGACTTAATGAAAGTATTTTACTGATGATTACAAGTCTGACGTTACAGAACTTACCTTTGCAGCCTCCAGCAGCTCTTGCGTTTCTTCCTGGGTGTGACTGACAAAGACATCGCCGATTTGATATGGGATCAATAGGGCGTCGTCGTCTAACATCATGAGGTCATCGCTGGCATCCTGCAAGTTCTGAAGCGATTTCTGAAGGGAGACATCAGCAGACCGAAATTAGTATCAGTAATTTAGCAGCTGCACTACCTTTTTAGACCACACTTAACTGTAACGTATCCAAACAAATTAAGTTTCAGTGGAATTAGTGTCGATTCAACTTCACGGCTGTTTTTAAAGAATGTACTTTGTTCAACTTAAGAGGTGTAGACAAGGTAGGCGTGAGGGTAGACTAGTTATTAGGAATACTGCTCAGTAAACCACATTAAAATGAACAGAACCAGAAACTACAGCCTCCAAAGCAGCCATTAATTTCATTGAACAGCTCCTTTAAAAAGGGAGATTATGCAGCGTTTTCCTTAAAAACAATGTTTAGACTCACATAAAAATAATCCCTCTCACTCATCACTTATGACCCACTAGGAGTGGTGGCAGTGTGTGTATCTGCAGAGACCACCCTGCCCTCTGCCTGTACTTTATTTATTTTGCTGCGTTCGGGACGTTTCTTATGTCAGTTCAGACTCACAGTATCGGGTCTGAACACAACTCTAGTATTCCTAAACCCCATGATGGTCCAACTCATTTTGAAATATGATTTTTGTAAACATACATGACCACATGGTGAACCCTGAGAATGTGACGTTCACAACACATTCTGTGCTTACTTTCTTTGCTTCTATTTCATTTTTCAGCTCTGTCATCCGACTTGTGTTCCGGGCAAATTTATTGATCTTCTGTTGGTCTGCGAATGTGACATTCACGTCTTCAACGGCCTGCAAACAAAAAGGATAGAAAAGTTAAAGCTGTGGCAAGAGTCTGTGTTGGAAAGTTACTCAGTACATTTACTAAATAACTAGTAAATAAAATTCTGAAGTAAATATACTTTACTTGAGTAATACCCTTTTCTGCTACTTGATAATTCTATGCCACTACATTATGTATATGAGAACACCAAATAAATTATTGCTAGCTGTGTATACAATAGTTAAAATTAGTCCGACCGTGAACAGCAGCAACATTTAATTAATGTACACATAAACGCATCAATAATTTAAAGTCAGTATATAATTTAATGTTACATTATTGTTAAGTGGGCTCTCTGCATAATGAGTACCTTTACTTTTGAGACTCAAGTATATTTTGATCCTCGTACAAAACGTAATTCATTTAAAAACTTTGAATGCAGGATTTTTAGAATAACTTACATCTACATTGTGGTATTGCTACTTTTAACGTTATTTAAAAGTACTTCTCCCACTGGTAACGTACACCGGTCAAACCAACATGGCAAACCCCGTTGGTTCGCTAGCATTAATATGAATGCAACGGTTAGCATGCTAGCTAGCTGTGGACGACATCTTGATTGGTGGCCAGTCACCGTTACCAAATATCACTGACGGCGGTGAGCTGCTTATCACCATTATCTTAATGCTGGTGAATTTTTCAGGGCTCTTGGTTGCATAAACACATGACATATCTAGCTGGTGCGTTAGCTAGCAAGGTAACACTTAACGGCTGCTAACTACAACCGTTGACATGAGCTACACGAGGGTGTGACGGTTTTTAAATACATATCTGGCAGCAGCCATTGTGGTTTTCTTCCCAACAAACACCTCTACTGTTTCATATGAGTTCTCAAAAGAGACCGCAACAGAGTGTCTCGAAGACTAAATCCAATTTATCTTTATTTAATACTTACTACAGGTCCCTTCATGGTAGCTGCCATCATGGCTTCCTCGATTGCACAAAGACAGTGTCACTAAACCGAACAATGTGGCTATACCGCCACCTAGCGGGGCGGCATGACAGTGAAGATGGCGGTAAAATGTTTAATAATTTAGTCAGTTTCTACTTGTTTTTCACCATTTTTTCACCTACGCCAACAAACAGTCAACACTGCTAACGTTCTGTAACATCTTTAACTGTCTGCTCCCGGTCATAGACTAACTCTCTTCGTTACCAGCACAAAACACAACATCCCACCAGGCATGAGGCCTTCACTGACCTCCGTAAATGCAAGAACCAATCTTATATAACATCTTAGAACACTTTCTGTAAACACCATAACACCTAACATAACAGGTTAACATTATATGTCTTCAGTCCATTACAATATTGTGGCATCAAACATGGCCGTTCATTTACATCTAGCCTCATAACACAAGACACGTTTATCAATTTCACCACATGGGCAGAATGTAGCCTGTTTGATTTGTAAATATCATTAATCATCTCCAATAACTGTGGTTACAATATCTCAAACAAGTTATTTTATCAACCGGAACTGCTGCTTTGTAATATCTCTACAGCAAACAGTGCTGCACCCAAGTTCAAATATTTACTGAATACACCTGCAAAGCTATAGCACAGTAAGACTATATTTATTCCAATTTCAACTAGCTGCAGATGATATGGGAAGTGTACCACATCATAGATAGATAAATGATGTTGCAACCGGGCAGTATCATGAGAAATCTATTGTTTTGACTACATCTTTATAGTTCTAATGAAGCAGCTTCTTGTAGTGTAGTTCCACTGAAACATGACTACTGAAACTAGTAGGCTGCCATGCGTTGGTACATCATGAAGAGTTTGCTTGAGGTCTCTCAGCTGCGGGCCTTGAATGAAGTCAAAAGTGCACAATCCAAACAGGGGAATCCAACTCCCACCTCAATGTGCACGCCATAGGCTACAATTGAGACATTGTGTTCATGGATTCCAAGCCGTGTCATAATAAATTCAATAAATAGGCTACTGCACATTTGAAGTTCTTTTTAAGATTTTTATTTTGCAGTTGTTTGTGGCAAAACATGCTCAGACACGTTTAGTTGATTTGCATAACGAGGCTTTTGTCAACATGATCACAGCACATTTATTCTCAAAAGTAGGAAACAAACCAAATGATGAGAATCATAAAATAAGGAAGTAATCAGTTGATGGACTAAATTCAGTTTGTCTTTGATCCCTGAAGTCGTCTCAGACAGGCCCGTTTGTATCGATGTATTGAAAGGCCCTCAAAGACATTTAAATAGGACCATGTGATCGTCTTTAAAGACGGATGATTTCATTACAGAGCTCTTTGTGTTTCTTGATTAACTGTGATAATGAAGCAGATAGTTCCAATCAAAAAGCCTTTTCTCAAATAATATCAACGAAATACTTTATACTTCGATAAAGAAAAAGATGCTGCTCATAATGACCTAAATGACGTCGTGCTTAAAGTTTTCCCTTCACAACAGGGTTGTAAGAGAAACATATTTATTTTTGTTTTGACAGTGTGGAAATGTGCCAGGCCAATATCCTTAATCCACATCCTGTTACTTCTCATTTGACAACACAAATGTGCCGCGTTACCACAGTGTGATTGATTAGAGTGTAACTACATTGTTATCATGTTGGGGTGCAGAAAATTCACAGTGAGATTAACATAAGCTTATTAAAAAGCACCAACATGGGCATTTTACTGGAGGCTTTTCACTGGAGGAAATCAATTGATTACTTAAAAACAGTCCCACCCATTTTCAAAGCACACCAACTGTGTATATAGGTGGTTACCAACCGCTTATATACACAGCTGAATAGGAGCAGGAAGAACATCTCTTTGCCACAGTGACAAACTTTCCATATTTATTTTCCTGAAGGAGGATATCACTTGCTTGACTTACAGAGGTGTAACAAGGTAAGATAAATTAATGATACTGATGTTAAGAAGATGCCAAACTACTGTGTGAACAGATTTACAAATTATTTAATCACTCAGTAAGACATTGGTCATTATTTTTGTTAGTTTATGCAACATAAGAAAACTACATTTCTGTTTGTTTCCCTTTTTGTTTCAGTTGAGTCAGTGTTAAAAAGCCTGTGTCTGTAGGTCTCTACTGGCAAAAACATGGGAAACGAGCACTCCAAGAACATTGAGCTGCTGAACACGGTAATATTCTACTAAAACAAAGCTGTAAGGCTATACCTGTAGTATAAATAACTTTGCTGCCTCTAAATCAGTGGTGAGATTCACATGGAACAATTGATGCTAGTTGCCTCTTGAACCGAAGGTGTGAACCCGCAAGTTTTTAAAAATGTTGGATTGGTCAGAGGTTCATTTATAATCAAAACCACTATTTCTGTTGAATTTGAACCCTCTGTAGATACTTATGAGCTGTGGAGCTAACACAGGCCCATGTTTCTTTATTATCTTTTATAGATTGGGACAATTCCTGAGATGCTTGAAAATGTGAAGGGCATCTCTGCAAACATCTCATCTAATGGGATGGAGATTACTGGTGAGTGCATGAGTATTATTATTATTTTTTTTAAATTTCTTCTCGTTAAGTTAAATAATTGAAAAGTAAAACATGATAATGATTTAACTGTGGAATAGTGGTAAAATGTATACTCTAGGACAGATGTCTTCAACAGGGGGTCCGCGAAATTTTTGGTTGATTAGACAATAAAAAAATAAAAAAATAATAATATATATTTCTTTTTCTCTAAACATGAATCTGTCCATTATTTTAATAGTTCAGTATTGTATGAAAGATAACAGGTATCTTTATGCATGGCAGTGGCACTAATAGGCCATCACTCATTTTTCGTTTCCACATTTATGTTTAAAAGGAAAACATCAAATTGAATAGCTTGTATGCATGATTATCATGCAATTGGCAGACAATGTTGATATTGGCATTGGTATCAGCTGTTTATAAAAGGCAGTGGCTCAGCCACCCTACTCACTGTACCTTGCACATGTTTAAAATAAAAACATGAATATATGAACCTGTATATTATTTGAATAGCTTAGTATTGAATGCACAATAAAGAGGTTTACAGGGTACTAGGCCCATTTAATATAAAACACAATTTTATACAATATATAGTCGGGTGTCCCTGCTCCAGCTCTCTATCAGTTTGGGGATCCTTGGCCTGAAAAACGTTGAAGACACCTGCTCTAGGAGAATCCAAACATGAGAGAAGATTTGTTTTTTGCTGATCTTTATTCTGTTATCTGTTTCATTGTATCAGCAGACCTTTTCATGTGTGTGTTGGATTAGTCCTTTGGACTTTTATAAGGCCCTGTCAACACACTGACTCACAGCTGGCCTCTGTCTTGTCTTTGGCTTCCAATGTAAACTATAGGCGTAGTCTCAGACATTAGGAGCCACTATTTGTCCTGTCACGGTGTGGTTGTGTGTCTTTGCGGTAACAATCATGCTGTAGGATTCCCACAGGGACCTGACTTTGTCAAAGAGCTAATGTTGACGCTGGAGATAATGATAATGTCACTTAGCCCAGGTTTACTTCATGGAGCATTGCGCGCGGAGATATCATGCATGAGTTTCATGTTGTATGCAAAGAGTTTAACATTGAAAATCAGCATTGACATGTAATATGTAGTGACAGCTGTGACTTTCTTTGGTAAAGCAGATGTACACACATGAGTAATTATTAGATAAGACGAATTATTGCAACATGGACTTCACATTACAGAAATCCAAATTTAGTCCCAGTTAGTAACATTTTGACAATTTAAAGAACTATAATATATTTTGATCTGTAAATGAAAAACAACAACAGTATTTTCTTGTGCTAGTTTGGTTATTGCAGGTTCCAAACATTGGAATCAAATCTTATATTTTGAAATTTGGTGCCGTGGGCCAACCATTTATTTCACATTTTCTTATAATGGATTCTTTTTTGTCTTTTTTTGCAGTTAACGGTAAGACCACAGTCCAGCAAAATAGCAAGCCCTTCTCTTTAAACCTTGCCACTGAATCAAATGATTTTGTGATTGTCGAATCAGAAGCTGCAGTTGTTTCTCAAATCCTTGAAACCATCTTATTGAAGGAAGAGATGAAGGAAAATAATGTAGACCAAACAGATGTTTGTCTTCCTGCCAGCGATCCACAGACAGTGAGTGCACTTTGTTTGTGTTTGTTTTTTAAAGGTGAAATTCTATATTCTTCTCATTGTCAACTAATTTCATGAAAAGACAGAAAAACAAGTTTTGCCAAAACTTGATATATCTTATTCCTCAGTGCCACAGGGCTGCAATGTTGTTCAAAATGATGAAAAACAAAAATGGTGACACTGATGCACTGCGTGACATGTTCCTTTATTATGGATTGGTGTACTTTATTTTGACTCACTCCTACATACATTGTCCTACTGACAAATGTGTGTTTATCCACGACTGAAAAAGTCCTCAACAAATCCAGTATTTACTCCTGTTTGAGTAGCATTTCCTAAAAAACAACAGTGCCCAGCACTTTTATAAAATTATTTAGCCCTTTCCTGAAAATGAAACTGTATATTTTTGAGCCAAAAAATGTTATAGACGGCAGGAAAATTAGCCCTTATTGAGTAAAGGGACTGCATTGTTGGTTTTGTTCATACTTAGGGTAATATAGAATAATGCCAGTATTATTTGTTTAATGTTTTCGAATCTATAAAACAATCTGCATGCCAAAATGCCTCACATAGATTTAGCCAGTCAAGTACTTTAAGTCGTACATAAACAAATTGAAAGAACGAAATCATTTCTGTAATCACAAAACAATTCCTTTACTGAGAGAATTGTTCTGCTGTCTCAGTGTGATCAAGCACATGGTTGTCTGTGTCTCGGAATAAAGAAAACAACTGTATTTTACTCAAACACAAATGTTAATTTTCATGATAAAGGAGTCAACCTCAAGTGGAGAGGGAGCTGCCACCGTGACCATCGCTGTGCACCGAGAGAACTTTGAATTTCCACGTCGAAAAGCTGTAATATCAACACAAACAGACAGAATAATTGAAGCAGATATTTCAACACAAACTGGTGAGGATGATGATGACACAGCCACCGATACCGAGGGCCCGGTTGAAGAAGTAATCGACATGGAGACCGCAGCAAGCAAAGAAGATCCTCTGAATGAGTTGGCCTGTGACATTGCTGAGGAGCTTGTTGAGGAAACTGCAAACGAGGAGCCCATTGACAACCAGGCAGCTGTGATCATCAATGAGGAAGTGGTCATGAAGATTATTGTGTATGAGAATATAGGGTTCAGAACGGAACGGGTGGAAGCTACTGACAATAAAAAGTATGATCCTGAAGAAGAGAGCATGACTGGGCGTGACATTGCTGCAGAACCAGATTCTAACCAAAAAGAACTCATTATTGAAGATGAAATAGTTGCAGAGGAAAATTGTATTGAAGAAACCTTGCCATTGGAGGTCTATTACAGCCTTCGTGAAGTGGTGGCAGATTGTGTTGAGGCGGTTTTCGCAGCTGTACCTCAATCCACTGGCTTTGCTGCCGTGAACACGTCAGTGCCAGTTGCAGATAAAGTAATTACTGAAGACAATGGTGAAGGAGCAGGAGACATGTCAGTCGATGTAGGGCTGACTGAAACAGCTGAACCTCAGTCTACTGCCGTCACTCCTAAGGCCCAGGAAGCAAATGGCGTTCCTTCCTCAGCAACTACGCTGATGGAGGAAATCTCTGAGGTTGTTTGTGAGGAGCCTAATCCCACACCTGCAAACCAAGACGTGCCTGTAGAGGAACGTGCTGTCCCTCTTGTGACACTACTTCTAGTTAAGGTGGAATCTGCCCATGAAGAGGTCACTGCTGATGATGCTGTTGCCCTCATTGAAGAGCTTCCTGAAGATACTTTAAGCTCTGTTGAGGATGCAGTCAAGCCTGAGTCTATTCCTGAAGATTGTACTACAGATGAGAAGGCGGAGGTTGGTGAAGATGTGAAAGCTGATGTGAGACCAGAACGATATGAAGAAGGAGAACCAAGTCCTGTATTTGTCGATGCTGAGTTGACACTGGAGGCAGCAATCAATGCCCTCTCTCAAGAATTTGAATCGAGTAACATCACTCCACAGGAGACTGCCATGGATAATGGCTTCCTCGTGGAAGAAGAGGTGAGCACTGCAACAACGTATGTGGCCCTTTCTGCAGAACAAGAAGCAAGCATTGCTATTCCAGAGGAGCAAGTTGAGACGGTCGCTGACGAGACAAATGAAGACGCTGTAGGGGCTTTATCAAATGAAATTGAAGCAGTGCCAGAAAGTGTTGAGGACGATGCCACAAACGTAGGTGAGGAACCTGCAGATGTGCCACCGATGGACGCCACAGAAGAGCCTGAGCCTTGCGTTTCAGTCCAAGAGGAACTAAAAGACGAGAATGTCGCCCCAGCCGAAGTGCCAACTGATTCCAATCATGTTGTTGCTGAGGAGCCCGTGGAGGAGAGTTCGAGCCTTGTCGATGAAGTTATAAAACAGATTGTGGTAGAAATCGTTACAGAAGATGTTGTTACAGCTGAATGTAACTTTGTGGCTTCAGAGGAGGTAGCACCAGAGGTCATCGTAGAGGGAGAGACTGAAGAGGAAGCAGAGAATGAATCAAGTGTGAACTCAACAGATTCAACACCGGACTCACAAAGTGTCACAAGAACAGACATGGAAGCTTTAGCTGTCAGGTTGCAGTCCGCTTGTATATCAGTTGTTGAAGAACCAACACATGGGCTTGGTGGTTCAACTCTATCTTCACTGGGGTACGGTATTACTGTTACTATTCATGTAGCCCCAAAGCAAGAACAGCAGTGAAATGTTGAAGGAATTGTCTGAACTTTTGTTTTGAAATTGAGTGGTCTGCTTCCAGGATACCATTTGTTTAATGATATGTGGTAGTAATTGTAACTTGATTGTAAAATGATTTGTGTTTTATCACAATGCAAAGGGCCTCTGTTTTTTATATATCATCAACACATGTGCCGAAACATTTTCCAATAAAATCAAAAATGAAAACCTCTTAATCATTCAGGGTTTTGTTCATTATCTATTTGCATTATTTTGGTCGGTGTTAAGTAAGAAATAATACCTGCTTTAAAAAATAAGGGTAATAATAACTTTGTATAAGAAAGGAATATGAAATTTGAATCAGTTGACGCTGAAGGAATGTGGAAGTGAACAGATTTACTAATGATCTTAAAATCAGAGTCAGTGTTGTTTTTAAAAGATAACCCACCATCAAAACACAGCAAGGTATTTGAGTTTCCTGACATTTCTCAGGGCAGAACTCTCACACATTGTTGAATATCAATGAGTGAGGGGTGGGACACACACATTAATAAAAGGCTGATTGTTGACAATGCCCCGAGTAGGCAGAGGCATGGTTGGAATTGTGTACTCCCATCTCAATGCTGCGATTAAGACACTCACTGCTTGCATTATCAGCGACGCTGCACTAACGTAATTCTAAAAGGCTAATTCTTTGTGATGGTGTATAGGAGACAGCTAACCTAAAGCCAGAGTCAGAATCATTGACGGAGCCAGAGAGTGTGACTCTAGTCTTGGGTCCAGAGGGAGAAAAAGCTCCTGAATCTGACAACGGGAAGAGTCAACCTGTGGAAAACCAAGAGGACAGTATCCCAGAAAAGACTCCAGTTATGAACTTCTTCAAAACACTAGTAAGTGACACAATTTAAGAAATTAAGTGTGGTTTATATGCATTTAATATTTCTAATTTCTTGGAAAATTAGACTGCTTGGGATGAAATATATTGAAGAATTGCTTTAATCAAAAGTGAAAAAAAAACAATCCACCCCTTGTTATCGTCAAATATTACTGAAGGCAAACAGCTGCTTAATGTGAGTGTTTTGATTTTTACTGCAGAAATTTGGTAATTTGTCTGATAAAGAAGGTGATAACAAATTAAACAGTGAAGATGTTGTGTTTAAATTCAAACGGTAAGTCCTCTTGTTGTTGAAGTATATGAAAAAGCCACTTTTACGGCAGCAAAGGTATCCATAGCAAGATCTGTCATGATTACAGTGCCTGGTGGAAAAGCCCACAACAAGCAGCTATTGTATTTCCTCTTCATCGTGCTGTCTTTTGGATTCATGCCGTTTTAAAGAGTTACCATTGCACTAGCCCCATGCTAATCAAGTCTCTGAACATGCGGGAATGTGGTGGCCTATTGTTCAACCCATAGTGTGAGCTCACAAGGGAGGCCTGTACAGTTGGGAGTTGAGATTTGTGAAGATAGAGCGAGGGAAGGCCTACGCCATCTCCGGAGCACAATGGCTGTCACAATGACAGCGCATGTACTGTATGTGCTCTGTCAGGGACCTCAGTGTCCCTCAGTTAGCTTATCATAAAGACCTATGTCTGCATTCATGAAAGCCTTCTGTTTTATCAAAATAATTATTTTTCTGTTCTTGTTACATCAGCTACAGTAGTCACACTGACTCTGTTTTACACTGCAGCTTGCCAGCTATGTGAAATTAAGGTTTAATAACATTTGAAGGTGGCCATTGTCATCTTATTTTTATGTCTGGCAGGAATAAAAGTGATTGAAGACAGTTAATGGTTCTTTCCTTGTTACACAGGTGACTGTCAAAGTAATCAAAAAGGAAACAGATACTGCTGATGCCACTAAAGACCAGGTGACCAGATGTTTATGAAGCATTACATCACATATAAACCATGTTAAATTATTAATTCATCGTGACTGTACCACCGAGGGATTCTTCAGAATAGTTTTCATTTTCTTTGATTTCCTTTCAATATCCAGTTTAATATCATGATTATTGTGGTTAACAAAGCCGAATCAGTGAACTCAGTAATGTTAGGGGCTAATTATTTGACTAGTTCTTTGTACAGTATATTGATTGTGTGTTGAATGCTGTTTGTGCTTCATAACTGGCATACATTTCTGTCTGATATTTCTGATTCCAAAAAAACAATAGGTTCCCCAAATTATATAGACAAGCTTTTTTGCAGACCATTTTGTTTTGCTTCAGTTTAAGTTTATTTCTCTAACTGCTTCCTTTTTTCTGTTGCCAAATAGTCCCAGAAGGAGAACCAACCAGCGGCAACCACTACTGTGAGCACAATGCCCATAAAGTGTTTTAATTAGTTTTTATTTCCCTAGAAAGCATATGTTTACCGGACATAGTTGGATTCAGTTTACTTCTAGAAACTCTGCTTTATTTTCTAACGCTGCATTGTACACACTAATTCATGTTTTAATAGTTTATGTTGGATGAATACCAGGGGCGTTTCTAGGATTCATAGAAAGGGGGGGCTTAGCCCCAAGGAGAGCGGCATGTTTGCGCGCAATGTTTTTTGGGGCCCATTTGGGGCCGCGGATATCCATTGTTTCAGACAGTTCATAGATTGGTTCAATCAGAAAGAGTGTGATTTTGCTCTATAGTTTTATTTGCATTCAGTATATGATAACACAAGAGACAGAATTTCAGGGTCATAGTGAAATTTGACAACACAAATATGAACTTTTGTCAAATAAACAGAGAGAAATAATTTTCCTACTTGTAAAGGAAAGACGGATAAACTAGCTTTCACTATAGCTTTCACCGCGACACTCCCAAATCCTAATTCTTAAAGGGAACGCACACAATGGATGGAGAATGGACCTGACGGTGTCAACTTTACATCGTTAAGTATGATGATAGACTGTTGGATTGTAATTTGAAGGGGGAGAAAACATACAAACTAGAACGCACGCACATATGTAGCATGTTAGAGTTATAAATAACTTGTCCATGTGAGAAACAATAGTTTAATTTAAGCCCCCCTAAAACAGGCATAACGACGCCCCTGATGAATACTTAGTTGCTGAACTGAATTGAATCACTGCTTTGCATTTATCTTATCATACCTCACCTAAAAATGACATTGTGTAAAATGCATTTGCCGTTAAAGGTGACTGTGTGGACAGTTTCCTTTCCAAAAGCTTTTACTTTAACACACGCTCTCTCTTGAATAGGTCGCACAAGTATCTGAGCCGCCCGCAGCACCCAAAGGAATGTCTATCCCACCGCCACCTCCTCCAGAGCCACCGAAAATGGAAATCAAGGCAGAACCAGCTGCCAAAGCCTCACCAAAAGAAGAACCAAAAGCTGATGCAAAGGAATCCGAGTCCCCAAAAGGAAAATCAGCCAAAGTTTCTCTCGGCAAATTCTTCCGTTCAAAGGTAAATGAACAGTAAACTGGAGCTCGCAAGACAAGATCGTTGTGGTTATTCATTTAGACTTTCAGTAAGTGCATGGTCCACTTAGTGTGAAATATACTGTATGTGAATTTGAGGTACTGGTAGGTGTCAAGGCATCCAAAGGCAAGGCTTCAGCAAGTGGAGCCAATGCCCCGGCCAAGTCTGCAGCAGTGGTACAGTGGCACATTATTATAATCTCAAACTGACCATGGCTCATCCTGTTACTAACTGAACAAGAGCTGGTTTGTCTGGAGGTGGCAGAAACGGAACAATTTGCTGTTTCCAAACTGGAACCTGCTGCCATTGTGTAATCCAGACGAATCAGGTTTGCGTTGTACTCTGCAGCTAGACATGTAATAATAGTAATAGCGTGACTTCGGTCAAAAGGTTTCGCTGTAAAAAAAGCCTCACGTTATCTGTTTCTACCACAGTCCATATTTCCATGATGCATTATATTCCCAACATTTAAATTCCATTAGTGATTCATTGAATTAAAAATGATTTGATATTTTGGGAAATACACTTATCTTGCTTACTTGCCAAGCGTTAGATGAGAGGATCAATACCACTCTCATTTCTGTAAGCTAGAATCAAGAGACAATGAGCTTAGCTCAGCACAAAGCTCACTTATAAACACAATGTTTGTGAGGTCTGTGCTGTTAAGTCATCTGTATGTCACATTGAGGTTGCCAGGCAAAACAACTTGCCATTTTTCCACTTCAATTTTCGAGCAAATCAAACAAACAAGTTACAGTGTAATTAGGGTACTTCGCAGGCGCTGGTAGGTGTAGGCTAGGCTAGCTGTTTCCCTTTGCTTCCAGTGTTTATGCTAAGCTAAGCGTATCACCTCCTGGCTTTAGCTCGATACTTAGCTCACAGTCACGAGAGCGGTATTGACCTGCTCATCCAACTTTCGA